CCAAGAGCACTCATTATGTGTCCCATGACTGTACGAGCTTGGTCACTGCCTTCCTTCAAACACCTATGCCATGCACAGCGAGCTCTTCGTGTTCTTGCAAGTGCACAGGTACTTTTTAGTCACCTGTATTGCTCAGTGATCTGCGTTTGTGCATTACGCATGCCAGTATAGACTCCAACAATCTCACAGTATTCAGACATAATTCCATAATTCAGTACCATGGCCATGGCTGCAAAAATATGCTCACCAACTAAATACAAGCAAGTTTACCAAGAACATTGTAAATACATTCTTACTTAACCTCAACCAAGAGTATGCACGAGTGATTTTGTTGGGTAGCAGATAGATGCTATTAGTGTTTCTGGAGTCCTACCATGCAAGTTTGTAATTTTTCAGATAATACTTCCACACCAAAATTCACACCCCTACTTCAAATGTTCACTTATCACAGAATACTAAATACAGGTTTTGTGCCACATTACTCCTATATATTTCCCACTCCCAAGAAGTGGAAGAAAAGAAAAAAAAATACTATCAGTTGCAAAATAGAATAAAGTAGTAACAAAAAGTGCAAGCCTTTAAAGTTCTCATCACACAAAATTTAAAGGCCTTAACCAGTACAGTTGAATCTAAGCGACTAGTATAAAATTGGGGGGGGGGGGGCATCAGCTTGTATGGAGTATAAAATTTAAACTTTATGAAAAATGGCATGTCACAGGAAATATTTGACAACTCCTGTTCCAAGACATTCATAGTTTTACAGCTGCATAATTTGTGACTATTCCTTTCACATTTAGATAGAATAACTGAACCATGAACAATGCCAAAACATGTAAACATAAGAGGTACATGCCAGCTCTTCGGAGAGAATAATTTTCCTGATGATCAAAAACCATCAATAAGAAAAGTTAACATCCACAGAGCACATCACAGATTTAGTTAAAACAATATTCTACAGGTAATGGGTCTGTGTTTAATTAAACATCACACCATGATGTATGGAGAAGGAAGGTATAACTCCACACATTCACAGCCTTAGAATAACATGGAGGCAAATGGGCACCTTTATGCTCCAGCCACTTCAACTCAGAAGAATGAGCCCCCAGTAATTGTTATAAAACAGAAGAATGAGTAGGATAAGCAAATTAATATTTTATAACATCACATTAAAACTAAATTTATTAACTGATTCGTTAGGTGGTTCATTCACTTAATCTGATTTTGGCATTTTCTATTTGCATTGTTTTGTGCACTAAGAAGCTTACAACATGAGACACAATGGAAGAGATTAAAAACAACTGAAAATAACACTTTCTTTAAATTTGGTTTGGTATATTATGTGACACTAGCATCACTCATTCTTAACCTCAGCACTAGATAGGGGTGAGAGGTCAGCGTCACACCCAAGCCGCACTTTACCCGCATGAAATGACCCCGGTACCCACTGGACAGGAGGCTGGGTGACCCCAGAGCTGGTCTGGATGCAGAGGCTAGAAGAAAAATCCTCTGCCCCTGTCACGGATCAAACCCCAGTTGTCTAGTCCGTAGCCAGTAACTATAACTATACTGACTGAGATACCCCAGGTCCTCAAAGCGCTACCCAATCAAATAAAATTTTTTGGTTAGGTTTTGATAAAATTCACAGCATTACTGGAAAATCTTCTCATCGCGTGTTAACTGCTATGAAACAAACAGAGAAAAATAACTCCATACATTACCATTCTTGCTGACTTTTTGCTATTAATAACTGCAGTAAACTGTCAGAAGAAAATTGGGTTTGAACATAAATGATATAGTATACACCAACATACTCATCAGCAGTACGAGTTCCTGCCTGTGCTGACGCAATGACAATGATAAAGAAAGTGTTACAACACAGAATATCACTACAAAGAACAACACAGCCCTTTTGCCTTTACATTTCAGGTAGTAAAGTATAATCACACATTCAGTGCACTTCACTTGAAAAATAATATATCAAAACAACTTCTAGTGCAAGAATCTATCACCTATATGCAGCAGGCAATGAAATTCCATTTAATAAACTTCAATAAGTGAAGGTAAACAAATTATCTTCAATTTCTAGTATGAAGTTCAAATTCATGTTTCTTATGCATCAAAATTTATTTAAAACATTCCACAACCACTGCAAATAGTTTGTTTACAAATGCCTCGATAAAAAATGTCTTAATAAGAAACTACTGTGAAACTTTATCTACAAGCACATTTCTAAATGTTTCCAAGATGAACAAAAGTGAGAGTGAAATGTGTAATTCTAGGTTATGTTAGGTTACAGTTGAAATTGTTATTACAATTCACATAAATAAAAATGTACACCTGCTTTTCTTCTTCTTCCTTATCCCTTCTAACATCTGTTCTTAGTTTATTCTGTAGATGCAACAAAACCTCACTACAGTTTTTCCCCAGTCAAAAATACATAAATTCCAAACCTGACTATATGATAAATTATAATTCCATACATTTTCTGAAATCTCTCAACTCAGCAGTATGAAATAGATTTCTCTATATATCCAAACAAATGTATATTATTATTAAATTGTGTATGATCAATTTAGTTGGTTATTACTATCATTAACATTACAAAAGGGACTATGCATCTCATGCAAAATGCTCTAAATAAACTGTACAAGTGATGACAGTCACATCAGAAAATTCTGGAGGGTTTACTCCATTAAAATATTATTATAACAGTAGTAGAATTCTTCTATTGATAAGGGTACTTCCGTATGCAAAATAAGAAAGCATCGTCAAATGGT